AGAGAAACCCCGCAACAAAAAAAAAAAAAAAAAAAAAAAAAAAAAAACCTGTCTTGAAAAACCAAAAAGAGAATTGGTTTAAAACAAAAATCAGAAACGCAGGCACGATGGTTGACACCAGTAATCTCTTAACTCCAGACTAAAACTATGTCTAATACATACTTACATACACACACACAAAGTATGTATTTTAAAACCACCTTGGTAATCTGAATTGAAAGGATTATGATAACTGGTACACATTAACCATTTAAATCTTGTGGCTAAAGAGATGACTCAGAAGGTTAAGGTACTTGTTGCTCTTGGGTAAAACAAGGGTTTGGTTCCCAGTACCCCAAATGATGGCTCACAACCATCTTTAACTCCAGTTTGAAGAGAATCCAATAACCTCTTATAACCTCCAAGTGCACCAGGCATGCACACAGTGCAAATACATACATGCAAGCAAAACACTCATTCTCATAAAAAGTTTTAAATCCTAAGAAACCCTGAATTTATTTCCTGCAACCCACAAGGTGAAAGAAGCCTATTCCTCAAGTTGTCCTTTGACCTTCAAATTCAAATTTGCAAACACACAAATATTAAAATAAATTTAAGATAAAAATGTCTCCTGAAGCACAGACCTCTGGAGATTTATTAAATAATGCATAAATCCTAACAAAAAATGCCGTTTTAAAAAAACAGTTCACCCCGCCACACCCGCAAAAGCAGAAGCAGGCAGATCTCTGTAAATTCACGGCCAGCATGGTCTGCAAAGTGAGTTCCAGGAGAGCCAGAGCTATTACATAGAGAAGTGTTGGATGGATGGATGGATGGATGGATGGATGGAAGGAAGGAAGGAAGGAAGGAAGGAAGGAAGGAAAATAATCAGGCCAAATAATCAGGCCGCCTATCACAAAAGATTTGTAATATTCTTAAATTTAGGGTATAAGACATGACGCCTGGCACGGGTAATGCCAGCACTTTCAATGCTAAAGTAGAGCTAAATTGGCTTAGAGCTTAACTGGGCTTTGATGTCCAAGCCTAACAATCTTCATGGAAGAGCCAATTCCTAAAGGCTGTCCCTGACCTCCATGTTCACACAAGTACATAAACACAATTTTTTAAAATAAAAAGGCTGGGGAAAGCTGAGCGACCATGTTTTTCTGCCATGTACAAGTCCACATTAACAAAGGAAAACAAAAATGCAGAACAAGTAAAAAAATTGAAAAAATGGTAATTATAGCAAAAATAGCCTTTGAAAATAAATTTTGCATTAAACCTAGAAGGGGGAGAAATCTGTGAACTGAGGTCATTTACCTTTGAAATGCAGAAATCTTTCTATGAAAAGAAATTAAAACATAGAAGGCATAAAAACTAAATCTTGTTTATAATCAAGGTCAACTGTAAACATGAGAACAGTCACCTTTGAATATGTTTACTAAAGTAGAACAAAATTTAAATGCTTTTATAGCAGAAATCTAAATCTTCACTGCTTACAGAGAATGTTTTTTTGAGGCTGATGACCTTGAACGTCTGAGTTCCTTGCCTCCACTTCCCAAGGGCTAGAAATAGAGATACCACCAAGCAGCTTTCTGCAATGCTAGAGATTGGACCCAGGGCTCTGTGCACGTTAACAAAGCCCTCTACCACCTGAGCTGTATCTTCAGACTCAATTTCTTACTTAATTAATTTTCTGGTATCTGTATTAACACTGTAAATATTTGGGAATACATCAAAACTATATAAGCAACTTCCTAGGTTTTATTATTCTAGTAGTGTTACAACAGACATTCCCAATAAGCAATGGGGTAAAAAAAAAAAAAAAAAAAAAAACAGTCTACAGTCAAAATAGTCCTCGGAATTATTTTTAATCACACAATTTAAGAGCAAAGCGATGAAAGCTGTACACTCTAAACCCTTCACACAAATTAAAAGATTTAAGACTCCAGAATAAAAGTCAAGATTATATACCCTATTTACATTATAGGTGAAGAAGCATCCTGATTGCTCGATCATCACATAAATCTGATTCAACAGTAAAATGTCAAAGGACAAATGAAACAGATTTTTAAATGGTCAAAAAGCAATGGGAAAACCGAAAGAAAACTTACATTATAACCATCTATGTCACACATTCAAAACTATAAATGTCAGTTTCATGGTCCAAAAATCACTTGTGATTAGCTGCAAAACAGCTTCTTTTAATTTTTTGCTATATTAATCCTCTAACGTTATGGAAACATTAAATGTATTCCAACATAACACAACTAGATAAGGATATTTTTAATTAAAAAATTAAGGAATTTGTCCAAAACACTAAGATTAAGTATTCATTACTACAGTTTTTAAGTAGAAAATATTTGACCAAAAAAAATTTACCTTGATGATATAATAAAATTATTACATATACCTTTGTAGGTCAAATAATCCCATCTACATAAGATTCTGACAACTACCCTCATGTGCCAGTAAACTTTTCCATCAAATTAGCTTGAGTAATTCACACACTAAATATAATCAGTATCATAAAGATAGTAATAATACATGGTTCTTCATAAAAATGTAATTTATTTATCTTGGTTATAAAAGTTGCCTCAAAAGGCTAGGAATTAATTTAGCAGTTATTACATCACTATGAAAAAAGCTCAAAATTTCATTTAAAATTTCTAACCTTCAGCTTTTACTTTTTCTGTTAAAATTATAGCTCTAAGAAGGCCATTATAAACACATTGTCTATTTAGCATAACTTTTAACAGCATCATACAAAATACCTTATTCTCAATTTCTATAGCAATATCCAGCAAATGCCAACTACACATTCTATCAGTTGCAGTGAGAAAATCCTAATCTTAATATCTGTTACAATGTAAGATTAAAGATACCTTTGTGTAGTCTTATCCTTGAAAGATTATAGATTTTAAGCCTATTATTTTCTTTTGTATACAATACAAACTTCAAAAAAATGCAAAAATACTTCATTAAGCTAACACAAAGACAATAAAAATACGTCTATTAACATTATGACCTATTTGAATCAAAACCAAGTAACACAAACTTAATTTTCTATAGATTTCCAACATAAGTGAATGTGCAATCCATTTTAATTAATTCATTGCTTAATTTTTTTCCCCCAAAGTATCACATATTTTCTCTGGCAATTACTTAAAATAATTGAAGATTATTTCTGGATTCAAGCTTGCACGAACAGATTTATTTATATATAGTAGTAGTAAATTTTCTTCATTCACCTTAAATTCACCTATTAAAATATAAACACAGTTTGCTCATAGTATGCTAAACCCAAAACCTTTTGTGCTTGAAATTATTTCTCTTTCGGGTTCAAAAACAATTACCAAGATTCATGATGGAGGACAGCGCTTAGTTTGCTGGAAAATCAGTTTATTTTTGCACTTGTTGAAAGAACAAGCTAGTAATAATGAATAATTTAGCCATAAAATAACAAAGACATCAAAGCTTGTTTTTAGCTTTTGAAATACAGTTCTTTTAGGAAGCAAGGGGAATAATAATTATGAAATTTTTAGGCAGGTGCTGCATGACGGGCAGAGAAGGCACTAAACAGTCCATCTTTCAGGTGCAAGAACAGCACTGGTTTAAACTCGGAGATTTAACCCACGCAAAGGCAAGCACCATTTTATTGGGAAGACCAAATAAATGTCTTACTACTGGATATACTGCATGCATTCATATAAATTATAGTATCAACTGTTTTAATAGTTAACACAAAGTATTTTAGTTTAGGGTAAAAATATTTTGCCATTTTTATATAAGCAGTATGTCTCATCGACTTTAGTGATATTTTTCTACTCAAATGTTAGAAAATATACAAATATGATAATTAAAAAAACTTACTTGCTATATAAAATATAGAACTTCCCAGGGACTCTCCTTTATTCTTAAAGATAAATCTCTATTGTCTCCGTCTTCAAAATGGCACACCTTTTGAGGAAAACAAATCATATTCTAAAAAACGTCTGACGAAGAAGTAACAAATAGAAATGTGAGAACTTTATACAGAACAAAAACTACTATCGATGCTTAGATCAAACTTAAAGACTGCTCGAAAAGCTTAGCCTACATGGCCAGCTATTCAACTTTATTAAATTTCCTTAAATACTTAAAATGTTAAAAATCATTTGCATGGTATCTTAAAGCGGTGAAGGGGGGAAAACATTTTTGGTCCACGTCTGGCTGCAAAAGCCTGTTAGCAAAATTAAACAAAGTCTTAAAAGACAGGCAGTATTATTTTAAGCTATTCAAAAGTACATTACATTACAATGGTTATACAAATATTCTTAACCATTTAGTAAAAGGGCTTCTTGAAGATTTTTTAAATTTCAGATATATATTCATTCAATCACTTTTTAAAACAGTATTAACTGAACGCTAGGAATACAGTTATTCAAATGGCAAAACAAAAATCTAGCAAATTAATTTTATATTAAACCAATATATTTACCAGTCTTACCTGGGGGGAAAAAAGCTGTATTTATTCAGAATCATCAGCAACCACACTAATTATAATCTGGTAAATTACCTTTAAAAAAATAAGAAAAATAATTTAAGTGTTTTGATTTTTACAGACATATTGGCAAAAGACTTGGTATGATGAAAGGAGGAAAATATTCCAAAGACAAGATCCAGGTGGAGATGGGTGGACAAGAGGTGGGGAGACAGGACCTGCACATTTGGGCTGTAGTTAGTCCTATCTTTAATGTCTATCAGTCTTTGTTTTCCTCATTTGGCACTGTACTGAGAAATCCTAGTCGTTAAACATTGCAATCCGTAAGAAATACAAAAATTCAAATGACTACCAATTTGCTTTCCTTTTCCCTTCTTAAAAATCAAGTAATAACCAAAAGCATAGAAAAAGTTGGCAATTTTAGAGAAAGCCATCATCTTAAATTTCTCTTTACCATCTACAAATACCTCTTACATTTAAGAGCATTAAAAATCAACTCCTCCAGGAGAAATTAGTGAACTTAAAATGGCCACTGCTTACTTTAAATTTTAAACTACAAGCTATTTGATCTCACCAAATAGGATATTAGTTTTGTCTTTTAAGCAGCTCTAAAACTTGTGATATCTATGACCTTCATTCAATTTCAAACGAGGGTCCAGAATATTTTGTCTTTTTCCTGCCCAATTTATCATGAAAGATCCTAAGATCTTAAACTGCTAGTAGTTACTTTTACATTTTCCTAGTCAAAAAGGTTTCTGAAGAGCTACGAATTCCCAATCTCTAAACAACTTTCAGTGATAAAACATTTCAAAGCGTTCATTTCAAAAAACAAAATTAGTACTTCAATTCTGTAAAAGCAAGGTATGCGCAACTCATATACCATGCACTAACCTATAAAACGTCCAATTGTTTTTTACTGGAAATACCCTATGAAACATGGTCCAGTCAACCCGTATCTTTGATTTTCGATGGACTACGTAAGTCTCCCCAACATTGTCTTTACGCAATTCTTCACCTTTATAGCACAAGGGTTCCGCAGAATAAAAGACAAATTCAAAAATACACAAAGGTCTGTACATTCCTAGATGCTTCTTCTAACAATTAAACTTGAATTACCTCAAGTATTTTTAAAGAAAACTGCGGTTTTCGTTGCAACTGTTTTTTCAACCCTGTTCCGTTTTTAAGCACATCTCGACTTTATACTTGCAACAAATGCAACAAATATGGCCCCTCTTCATCGCCCATCACGGCCAGTCCTACTTCACTATTTACACTATGGAAAGTAACTTCCGGAACAATTGTGCTATTACAATATTCCTTTACAAAACTTTTTCGATTACAATTTGAAATACTATACTTCTGTCTTTTTAAATAACAAGATGAATTTTAACTTTTAAAGGGTAGCAACTGACTCAAGAACGTTTTAACACTCAGGTGTGAGAAAAGTTACCCATTAGGACTCTTTCCATTCACCGAAAAAAAAGTATCCAACAGTATAGTTAGGCTCAAACATCAGGATGCCAAATGGTCTTGGCAAAAGCACTCGGTAAAAATAAGATGTATTCATCAAACGTCATCACCTAGTACCGAAATTATCAAATCTACTTCCATTAAACTGCCTTGTTGCCGTCGTCATGTTTGAAATACCAGAAGCACTCCTGTAACTTGCCTTTTCTAAAAGACAACAAACGTCACAGACGTTTTAACGAGCAATAAGATACCTCTGCATCTAGAAAACAGTCCTTCTCAAAAACAGCTTGGAAGGAGTTAAAAGCCAACACCCAACGGGGAGATGGGGGAAAGGACAAGTTTTATTATGGTTTAAGCGAAGTAAGACGTTCCATTGTTCTTTTAAATCCGATCCTGAAGATGGGTTCCCACCTCATCGGGAAGAGATTTTTAAGAGGCCGTCTCCGGAGGCTTGTTGTTGCTTCACGCTTAGAAAAATAACTCACCCGAGCAGGCAGGGGCTCCGTGGCGCGGCCGCCGCCCTCTCCCCGCAGCCTCGGAGGACAGCCCGGAGGCCGGCAGGCTGTGCAGAGGGAACGCGGGGGTCCGACCCACTGCCCAGGTGGCTTCGGCTCTCGGCGGCTGCGACCGGGGCAGCGAGTGGAGAACCGGCGAGCAACCCGCAGCCCCTCCCGCCCGCCCTCAAGGACGTCGTGCTTTTCCTCCCAAGGACAAAGGACAATAAAGGGAGCGGGGGAGCAACTCACCAGGTCGAAGCGCGGCCGCCAGCGCCTTCGGCTCACTCTTCCCCGCGTCTCCGGGACTGCTCGCCCGCCGCAGCCTCCCGCCCACGGCTCCGGCCGCCTCCCAGCCGAGCACCCGCGGCTGCCGCAGCGGAGCCACGGGCGTCGCGGGCCCGGCCTTCCCGGGCACCTCTGCCGCGGGCTCCCGCATCCGCGCGCGGCCGCCTCGCTTCGGCGGCGGCCTCCTCGCTCCCCCGGAGCCCTCCGGGACGGCCGGGCGCCGCTCCCAGCGCAGCAGCGAGCCCGTGGGCCGCGGCGGGCCGCCTGACAGCTCGGGTTGCTGCTGCCTCTCCGGCCATCTTGTGCCGTGTGTGGTGTCTCTCCCGTCTCCTCGCTCGGCTTTGCTCCCTCCTCCTCCCCCCCCCCCCCCACCCGCCCCACACACCACACAACATGGCCTCTTCGCTGCGGCGGTGGCTGCGGCGGCGGCAGGAGCTCCGCCGCCTTCCAGCTCGCTCCCCTCCCCCAACCTCCCGCCTGCAGCCCCGGGACCCCCAGTGCGCACGCGCGCCACCACCAGCCCGCCGCGGCCATTGGCTGGGTCGGCTTCCTGCCATCGCTTCCCAGCAGCCTCACGCACTCTGGTTGGTGCCTTCCTCCTGGACAACATCTTACTGCACAGTATTGGTCTATTCAGATCCCACCTCTTCCACCTTCTCAGCGTCAATAGGATTGACTTAGTGCCAATCATTCCCCGTGGGCGTTTCGGCCGAGAAGTCGCGGCCTGCGATTGGCAGATGCTGAAACCTTTGGGTTTGCGGGAGAGACGTAGCTCTCTGCTCCGCAGTGCGGAGTCCTCGTAGCTAGTTGGTTTGTTTCTGGTACAGGCTAAGACAGGCTCTTGCTCTGATCATTAAAACCTTAGGATTTGCTATTTCTGACTTGAGGGGGTTTTTTTCCCGTCTTCAAAGAAAAGGGAGTGGTGAAGCAAAGATGACGTGATTAACAAGATAGGCAAAGACTGTGCACGTCCTTCACTCTTAGGCAAGCAGCCATATCCTCAGAATTTCCCCCCCAAGCAAGCAGACCTACCTTCAGGTCACAGAGACAGGAGCAGCGATTTTATGATCAGCACGTTCCCTAACGTAACATATGACTTGATGTGCCGTTTATTTGAGGTAACCTGTTAGCATACCCAGTGTCCGAGGCCTTAACGACCCAGCCTCATATTCCTGACTAGTTGGATTCCGGAAGACTTGTCGAAATGGTAGCTTAAACGTGAACAGCCACGTCTGCCTGTCCAGCTTTCCCCAGAGCATTACACAAAACAAGTTTTCATTTCCTCTCAGGAAAGTCCACTTTTTTCCATTTCTTCTTCCCACTTCTGCCTGGAACCAAATTCAGTCAGAACACAAGTGAACATCTGAACCGTCCTCCAGTAGCTAAGGAAAGAAAAGTTGTTCTCTCGCAGTAGTGGCATTTAGAAATTTCTTTTATCAAGGGACCGGGGTTGGGGGAGGGGGAAGATAGGCGCGATTTGTTTTCATGGGAGAAAAAAAAATTTTTTGACAAGTGTTGGGATGAGAGGGACAACGCTCAGATCCTCTTGAGACTTTGCTCGTTCGTTATAGTCAGAATGTTGAACACAGAGCCAAGAAGTAATTCTAGCCCCCCTTTCAAATTTGGGGGGTGGTGATGCAGGGTCTTTCTACATACCCTTGGCTGTCCTGAAACACTATGTTAATTTTTTAACGTTTCTTTCTGTGTTGGGGGGGGGGTGTAAAACACCAATAAGTGAAGTCATGAACTTGACTGGGAGGGGAGACACATATGGAGGTCGAGGACAACATACAGGAGTCGGGTCTCTCCTATGCCAATCATCAGGCTTGTGGACCCGCGAGCCCCCAGACTGGCCCTTCTAGCCACTTCTTAAGAATCGCATTACTGGGAGGCCTGGCCTTCTTGCTGAATCCTTTAATCCCAGCACTAGGGAGGCAGAGACAAGCAGATGATCTCTGTGAGTTTGAGACCAGCCTGGTCTATAGAGCGAGTTCTGGGACAGCAGGACTAAAGAGAAACCCCATTTCAGAAAGAAAGACAGAAAAAAAAAAAATTACAGACCTGAGGCTGGAGGGATGGTTCAGTGATTACGATGTCGTGTACTGCTCTTCCAGGAGACCTGGCTAGAAACCACCTCAGGTGGCTCACAGCTAGCAGAAACTCCAGCTCCAAGGGTATCTGATGCCTGTGTCCTCAGAGGGCACCTGCCCTCACGTCAACAACCCCCTACATAAACACTAAATTAATGAAAATAAAATCTCCCATGACCACGCACTCTAACTGGAAGTCTTCTCTGGATCTGTCCAGTCCCAGTGGACTGGTTTCTCGCCCAACCTCTGATCCCTGCAGTTGCTTATGAAATAATCAGAGGCTTAATGTTAATTATAATTGTTTGGCTGATGGCTCAGGCTTATTTCTGGCTAGCTCTTACATTTAAATTAACCCATTTCAATTAGGTTATATTTTACCACGAGGCTCGTGGCTTGTTACCTCACATCTTGCTTCTCCAACAGCTGCTGGCATCTTCCCCAACTCCACATTCTTTCTCCCTGTATCTTTGTTTGAATTTCCTGCCTAGCTATATTCTGCCTGGTTATTGGTCAAATCAACTTCCTTATTAATCAATGGAATTAAAACATATTCACAGCATCAAAGACACATCCCACAGAATCACACTACAAAATAAATAAATAAATAAATAAATAAAATCTCTAAAAATAAAAATCAGATTCTGAGGCAGAAGAGATGGCTCAGCAGTCAAGGAAACTTACTGTTCTTAGAGAAGAACTGGGTTTAGTTCCCAGCATCCACCTGGCCTGGCTAACAACCATCTGTAACTACAGTTTCATGGCATTATCCAATACCCTCTTCTTACCTCCAAAACCACATACATGGTGACATACATACACGGCAGGAAAAAACATTCCTACACATATTATAAAAAGAAATATTTTTAAACTTTTTAAAGGAAAGGAAGATTGAAGATATATAATTGATAAGTAGGTAGGTGAATAGAGAGAGATAAGAAAAATGACAAGAATGATGGGTTAACTTAAGTTGTGAGAGATGGTTAATAAACTGGAGCCATCAGCTAAACAGTGTTGTAATTCATATAGTTTCTGTGTGATTATTTGGGTCTCTGGCTCCATAAGGAATGATCACTTTTCTTGATTTGCCTATTTGAGATATCCAATCCAGTCTAACTTAATGGCCAGACCTTCTCTAGCTATGCCTCCTATAAGCTGCCTCGTGCTCTTGGGTTTTTTTTTTTTTTTTTTTTTTTTTTTTTGAGACAGGATTTCTCTGTGGCTTTGGAGCCTGTCCTGGCTCTAGCTTTTGTAGACCAGGCTGGTCTCGAACTCACAGAGATCTGCCTGCCTCTGCCTCCCGAGTGCTGGGATTAAAGGCGTGGCCACCACCGCCCGGCTAGTGCTCTTGTTTTGCTGCCTCTTTGATCATAGCCCCTACTCATAAACTATGGAGTGTTGGGGAATATTATTTAAAGGTTTGATAATTTTGTTTATACTGTTGAACATTTGTTTAATGATGCAAAGATGTGTTGCTTTTGTTTATGCTGCATTTGCTTAACTCTGTGAAGCTGTGATTTGTTGCCTGTCTAAAACACCTGATGGTATAATAAAGAGCTAAAGGAACAATAGTGAGGCAGGAGCAAGGATAGGCAGGGCTGGCAAGCAGGGAGGATAAACAAAAAGAGCAAATGAACCAGGGGAAGGACATCAGGGGCCAGCCACCCAGCTACACAGCAGCCACGGAGTCAGAAAGAAAGTAAGACATACAGAAGTAAGAAAAAGAAAAATCCCAGGGGCAAAAGGTAGATGGGTTAATTTAAGTTAAAATAAAACTGGCTAGAAATAGGTCAAGCTAATGCCGGGCATTTATAAGTAAAAATGAGCCTCCATGTGTGTTGACTTGGGAGTTGGGTGGTGGGCCCCCCAAAAACCTAAAGGAATAACAATGGAGTAACCCCTTTTATAAAGATCCGCCCTGGGCAGCTTACGTCAAACAGCATTCTTCCCCAACTGTCCTGCACAAGCTTTGTCTTCAGAAAAGCCACTTGCCTGTCTCACTGAAATTCGATTTCCCATCACAAGTGACAAGATAATTTTTTTGAACGTTTATGCATTTATTCGGTGGTGGTGGGGGGACCCATTTGTACCTCAGTGTGTGGAAGTCAGAATAATCAGCAGGGGAATGAGTTCCATTCTGTGGGACTCAGATGAACGTCAGGTCAGCAATCTTAGCAGCAAGCGCCCTTACCCACTGAGCCATCTCACTGGCCCCAGACACTCGGATCCCTTTAACCACATCTACATCTTATGTTTAACCATCCTTCCTTAGAGAAGAGCTCTGACGTCCCTTAGAAGGACCTGAAAGCCTACAATCAACGAATTCACAGTTCCTTCGCACTTTTCTGAGTTTGTTTTCTATTGCTATAATCAAACATCCGGACCAAAAGCTACTTGGAGGGGAAAAGGTTGATTTGGCTTCTACATCCCCTTCACCATTGGTCATTGAAGGAAGCCAAGACAGGAACTCCAGCAGGGAAGGAGCTGAAGCAGAGGCCATGGAGGGGTGCCGCTTGCTGCCCTCCAAAACTTCCCCAGCTGACTTTCTTATATCACCCAGAGCCACCTGCCCAGGGGTGGCACTACCCACAATGGGCTGGACCCTCCCACTTCAATCATGAACCGAGGAAATGCTCTGCAGGCTTACCTAAAAGCCAATCTGATGGAGACATTTTCTCAATGGAAGCTTCCTCTTCCCAAATGACTCCAGTTTGTGTCACATGACATAAAAATTAACCGCCACAGCACTCTATGGCATCCACCAAAGGACCAAGTGACTACCCATTCTTCCTCTTCTTACCCTGACTCTAGGGACTGTTGCGTTTGTTTCGTTTCATGGTCTGGTTTTGCTATGTTTTTTTTTTTGGGGGGGGGTCTGTGTTTATTTTTACTGTTGAGACAGAGTTCCACTATGGAGTCATAACTGGTCTCAATCTGACTTTCATCTGCCTCAGCTTCCCAAGGGCTGGTGTTACAGTCAAATCCAACTACAATCAGCTTAGTGTCTACGGATTTTTTTTTTTTTTTTTTTTTGTAGCAAAAGTGAGGAACCTAGTCCTCAACCTCAATCTACCATACAAAAGACCTGCATGTGTGGTCTGAGTTGTTTTCCTATAACAGAATCCAAAAAAACCCTGGAATGACAGAATATGTCTCAAAGAGCACAAGGGTAAATCTACATTCGTTTCTATTGGTGGCCTTGAGAAAAAGACCTGA